TTTCTTGTGTTTTGCTGATGGGTCAGAGGATCCAATGGCAGAGAACCCTCAACAGAGGTAGAAGCTCAAAAATCTCACAGATGCTGTTTCCGCCTTTTCCCTCCTGCGAGATTTCCCCCAGAGAACTATTCTTTGTGCTTTCTTTTAGGGGATTTTATATTGGTTGGTCTTATGAGAAGGGTGAGTCTTTCATTTTACCACCCCTCAGGCAAGTCCTACACTACTCTTGCTTGGGATACTTATATTAAGAGCGTCTCAACAGGTATCCCTGCTTGTAGGTCACCCTGTTCACTCCCTGAAATTCATCTTCCTAAATTTATCTCCATTGCTTAAAATTTTTCTTCCCTTTTCTTACTTTAAATACAATCAAAATCTTCAGCCTGGCTTCTAAGTCCAACCATTTATCACTTGCTAGTTCTAAGAGCAAAGAGGTCTTTGCTAGCTCACCAAACATGTCATCCCCCTCTCCATTATACACAGATTTCCTGCCTTTGTGTTTCTGATCAATTTGTCACATCTTTCTGGAACTCCCTGCCATTCGTACTGAATGTAATTAAGAGATAGTACCATCCAGTCTTGGTAGAGTCATCCCCAGCTACATTGGCCTTCCTTCAGCCCTTCAAATGCTCATCTTTTTCTTACCTCAGGGCCTTAGTACTTATTATTCTCTCTATATGGGACAGTCTTCACCTGTTTAGCTCCTTCTTAATTTTCATGGTTCTTCTCTTAAAGTAGGCCCCTTGCGTTTCTCTCTTGCAGCATCATGTTCTGTCTTCCTTCATAGTATCTACCACACACTTGCAGATAGTGTTCATGTCTTCTTGTTTCCTGCTCCATTTCGGGGCCAGGCCAGAGTAAGCACAAATATTTGCTGAATGCATGAGTGATTTAATGGGTTATAATGCATGGAACTCATAGGCTATAGTCATCAAAATTCCTTATATACTCAATCTCTTCTCTGCTTAACTTAGACCTAGCTTCTAGCTCTCCCCAAAGCCCACTTCTCCCAAAGGCTGTCTACTCTCTTTTGTTCACTTCATAGATTGGTGCCTGGTGGCCCTGAGTGGCTCATATATATTTAATTCCTACAGAATTTACTTGACATGTCCTTTTCCTTTGAATCTAATGAAAGATCAGGAAGATAGCCCAACAGAGTAAAAGTAGTTATTATTCAGACAGACCGAGATTGAATCTGCTACTGACTAGCTGGTGGTCTTGAAATCAGTGTTTGTTTGTGTTTAAACTTCTCTCAGCCTGAAGCTTCTCCCTTTGTGTGTAACAGAAGTGGGCAGCGGTACTGTTAGGTTAGACTAAGGAATTAAACTACACTGCCCCCTAGAGGACTTTTGTTTCTGGGATAGTGGACTGAATCCCAGGAAATGTTTAAGTACCTTTGTGAACTACTCTGACACACTAGAGAGAGAGGAGGGCTCCAGCCCAGGCTTGTCGGAGGTAACCCCAGTACAGGCCATGGGGCCAACTCTTGCATGGAAAGATGAAAAGTTCAGTGGTCTAGGAGAGTGCAGCACAGGCTTCGAAAAAGGTCAGCAATTCATGAGCAGAAGAGTGACAGTGGTAGTCCCAGTTTTTTCTGAGAATTGGGGAGGGGACCTCATTGAAAAACTGGATTTACTGCTACTTTAACATATGGTGGGTTGATTAGAACTTGGAAATTTGGGATATTGCTAAATATGTGATACATTTATGTTAACCATACTTAGGTGAAGTCAGGGTACTTCTGAGCCACATATAAAATGAAGATAATAAACAAAAACCTGCCAGGCTGGTTGTGAGGATAAAATGAGAAAATAGGTCATATAAAGTGCAAATATGGTGTCTGGTACATAACAGATGCTCAATAAATGGCAACTTCTATTACTGTTCTTGAAAATAAGGTAACCTTCCTACCTTTTTTTCTTATGCCACATGACAAATTTATTCTTTAATAATAAAGAGAAGCATAAAAAATAGATTGAAGTAAGAACATGGTCAAACTATACACTTTTTTGTAGACAGTCCTTTGCTTCTGGGTTTAATAATAAAATACAGACATTCTGTTAATAAATTAAATGTGTATAGTTAAATATATTTAAAATCCATTAATAGATGATAATGTAATTATTAAATGGTTACCAGTGGCCAGGGGTGGGGAATAGAGATTGATCAAGAAGAGGCACACAGAACCTATTGGGATGATGGAAATGTTCTATCAATTTTAATTCTAGCAGATGTTCTGTGCAATCAAGAAATCTAATCTTGGCTCTGGCTGGGTTGCTCAGTTGGTTAGAACATTGTCCTAATACACTAAGGTTATGGGTTCTCAGGTCAGGGCACATACAAGAATCAGCCAACAAATGCACAAATAAGTGTAACAACGAATTGATGCTTCTCTCTCTCTCTCTTTGGAAAAAGAAAAAGAAAAAAAATTATCTTGATTTTGGTCATGGTTACATGTGTATATAGATTTGTCAAAATTCAGTGAAATATGCGTATAAGTGGGTGTTCTATTGTATGTAAATTAAACCTCAATAGAACTCATTTAAAAAATTCAGTGCTTTCAGGCATTTTATTATTTTAATAATTATTTTTAAAATTAAGTAGTAATTGAACTTGAAATTATTACTTTTATTATTCATTAAGTTATTATGCTGCTCAAAGTATTCCTGAATATTTATCAAATGGCTCTTACAAGCCCATATGAACTGACTCCAGCCCTACACTTTAGAATGCACAGAATAGTTGTGTTTGTGTGTATGTATATCCATACATATATTTCTTAGTTGATGTCCTATTTTCTTGTCCTACTGAAATGATCTACAAGAATGACACCCTAATAGCAATGAGCACAGCTAGCATCTACATCTTGACATTCAAATACCATTCTTTTTTAAAAAGGAACAAAAGATTCTTGGAGAAATGGTTAATTCCATGAGTAGGGCAGTAAAAAATCTTACTGGCTCCTTACTAAAGAAAGGAAGTGTTCAGAGAATGATGATATAGTAAACTGAATAATGGCCCTCACGGACATCAGGTTTTACTCTCTGGAACCTGTAAATGTTACAGTATATGGACTAAGAATCTTTGCAGATATGATTAAGTTAAGGGTGTTGATAGGGAAATTATCCTCAAATGTCCAGTGGGGCTCTAAATGCAGTCATAACTGTCCTTTTAAGGAAGAGTCACGGGGACATTACATGAAAGAAAATAAGAAATTAGGAGGCAGAGATTGGAGTGATTTGACCACAAGTCAAGGAATATCAGCAGCCACCAGAAGCAGGAAGAGGTAAGGAATGGATTCTCCCCAGAGCTTCCAGCATGGCCTTTCCCCATTGAGTGCACTTGCTACTCTTATCAAAAATCACCTGACTGCCCCGACGGGCATGGCTCAGTTGGCTGAGCATCATCCTGCAAAACAAAAGGTCACAGGTTCTATTCCTGGTCAGGGCACGTGCTTGGGTTGTGGGCCAGGTCCCCATCTGGGGAGCATTTGGAGTCCTTGCAGCTGACTGGCCTGGGTAAATCCCTCCCATTGACCAGCCAACAGCAATCAAGGCTCAACTACAAGAGGAGGGTGTACTCTGCTCACACAAAGATGCACCTCAAGAACCCAGCTAAGGTGATAGAGGGCTGTGCCACTGTCCCTGCAGGACACCTACTATATTAGACCAAATTAACATGACAAAGAGTCAAAGCAGCTCTACCTAATATACAGAAACAAACACAGGGAAGCTGCCAAAATGAGGAGACAAAGAAATATGGCCCAAATGAAAGAACAGATCAAAACTCCTGAAAAAGAGCTAAACGAAATGGAGATAAGCAATCTATCAGATGAAGTTTAAAACGCTGGTTATAAGGGTGCTCAAGGAACTTAGTGAGGACCTCAACAGCATAAAAAACATCCAGTTAGAAACAAAGGATACACTAATTGAAATAAAGAACAATTTACAGGGAAACAACAGAGTGAATGAAGATGAGAATCAAATCAATGAATCAGAACATAAGAAAGCAAAAAACGACCAATCAGAACAACAAGAAGGAAAAAGAATCCAAAAAAAGAGGATGGGGTAAGCAACCTCTGGGACAAGTTCAAGCATTCCAACATTCGCATCATAGGGGTACAGAAGGAGAAGAGAAAGAGCAAGAAATTGGAACTCTATTTCAAAAAATAATGAAAGAAAACTTCCCCAATTTGGTGCAAGAAATAGATATGCAAGTCCACACAGAGAGTCCCAAACAAGATGGATGTGAAGAGGCCCACTCCAAGACACATGGGAATTAAAATGCCAAAGTTTAAAGAGAGAACCTTAAAAGAGAAAAGCAATTAGTTACCTACAGGGAAATTCCCATAAGACTGTCAGCTGATTTCTTAAAAGAATCTTCACAAGCTAGAAGGGATTGGCAAGAAATATTCAAAGTCATGAAAACCAGGGACAGCCAAGATTGCTCTACCCAGCAAAGATATCATTTAGAATTGAAGAGCAGATAAAAAGTTTCCCAGGCAAGAAAAAACTAAAGGAGTCCATCATCACCAAATCATTATTACATGAAATGTTAAAGGGATTTATTTAAGAAAAAGAAGAACATCAAAACTATGAACAATAAAATGGCAATAAATAAATAACAACTGAATCTACAAAATAAACTAAGCAAACAAGAAGAACAGACACAGAATCATGGATACAGAGAGTATTTTGATGGTGCCACATGAGAGAGGGTGGGGGGGAACAGGTGAAGAGGTGAGGGAATTAAGTAATACAAATTAGTAGTCACAGAATAGCCATGAGGATGTAAAATACAGTATATGAAATAGAGTAGTCTAAGAACCTATGCATGATCCATGGACATGAACGATGGTGTGGGGATTGCCTGAGGGAGTGAAGGGTGTTCTGTGGAGAAGAGCAAAGGGGGAAAAATTAGGACAATTGTCACAGCATAATCAATAAAGTATAATTTTAAAAAAGTAAATTAAATTAATTTTATCTGCTTCTTTGTGCTTTTTTTTAAATAGCCATTTTCAGGGACCTTAATGACTTCAATTATCTTTAAGACTCATAACATGGCTTTGCTATTGCCAGCTTTCTCTAAATTTCTGCAGAAACACATTCAAGTAAGCAGAAACATTGGCTGGCTGGCCTTGTCATTTTTTAATGTGGCTACTAGAAAATTTAAAGTAAAATGTATGTCTTACATTTTATTTTTATTGGACAATTGTGCTTTATAAGGTTATTTTGAGATTATTTATTCAAGTCATGACCCCAGCTTTCAGTAGACTTCCAAAACTTTGACTTAGTACATAAACAATTTTTATAAGTGTTTACAAACAAATATTGATCATTTACCTCTAAATTGCAATTATATTTTAAATATAGTTTATGTTAATCTTTTTTTTATATTTATAAAAGTAATTAAATCAATCTCTGTTCTATTTTGGCTTTTCCCCAAAATTTTCCTAATAACTGCAGACACAGAAAACACTCCTTATCATGTATATATATATATACACATATACACAAATTACAGCAATAATTCATCTTTAAAAGCAATGGTTTACCTTTGCTCATAGAAATCTGGAAAACTCCAAATTATTTCCATGAGTTGAGTGGGTCTTATTTAGCAATCAGCAACTTCACCACATAGAATCAAATAATTCTTAATCTTTAAGCTATAATAACAAAAAATTGGTCAGGAAGGCCATTTTTGTTTATTTTTCTTTTTGTAATATATTTGATCCACAAACATAATATATGATTTTTAAATTTATATGTTGATAAATCATGAATTCTATTAAGCAATTATCTTGAAATTGAACAGCTATAAAATTGAAAAATGTCTAAATTTATCTTCCCATGTTATAATCACAGATTGCATTTAAAAATGAACTTTATAATAACATATTTAGAAATATGCTAACCTAAAATAAAATGTTTTACTAAAATCTACTTTGCTATCATATATGCCCAGTTGGTAAACTGATTATTCAGGTGGCTCACAAGAGTTCAGGTTACATTGAAAGGGGTCAAAAGGCAAAAAGGTATGATACATGTTGCTCTCTAGCTTAAGTATTTTTTAAAAATTTAAAATTATTTTATTTTACTGCTTTGTTAAGTATTTGGATCATAGTTAACAACCTAGCTTGAGACATTTGTATTTTCTTGAGCTGCAATTTTATTTTTGGTATCTAACATGTAGCTGTTGCCTATATCCTTTAATTTAAATTCTTAGATATGATTACAATTTTCCTTGCTCTTTTTATTGGTGTTCCTTTATTAAAATGAAGTAGGAAACTATTAAATTCTGCTGATAATTCTGACACCACAGAAACACAGAATCTTGGAGCTGAAATATTAAAAATTAATTAAGTCCATCACTCCCCTACTCCCAGTTGTGTAAGTGTGTGTAAGTAAAAAAACTCCAGAAAGAGATGTTATAGAATGGTCTGGCTCCTGCTCTTGGTCTTTTTATACCACATTCACCTCTTGTAAGAAAAAAAGTTTCTATATCAACAATACATGTCTTATTAAATAGATTTGTTTGTGTCCAAAATAATAAAAGTGAAAATATTTGAAGCAACTTACAGCACGAAGACATGAAATAAATCTAGAAATTGAAATGGAGCACCATATTCATTGAGAAAATCAGGCATTCAGCTTCAGGTGCAGAGACCAACAGTCCTTGGACACCCTGACCTGACCTTGCTTCCTTTTGTTTCTCTCTAAATAGTATATTTTACAATCTCCTTTGTAGTATAGAGAACAGTCAGAAAAATGTTCTCAGAATTTATCTTCTCTTGGTGTACTGCTAGATACTGGCAAAGGAATAGTCTTGCTGCAAAGGTATCAGGCATTCTTGAGGGCTTTACCAAAGCTTATAGGAAGTGTTATATGTTGCAACGTTCCAAGAGGCGACAAGGAAATAAGGCAGCAGGAAATCAAAACCTCCTCAGGAGAACATCACTCAGTCTGGGCCAATGGCTTCCTCTTTCTCTCCTGGTCAAAAATCTCCATGTACCACTACTTATATGCTACTGGTATATAGGACTTGATTAAAATGGAGGATGGAGGCACAATGGAGAGGGAATGGTTCAGCATGTAGAGGATTAGACCATATAAAATCCTTTGCAGCTCTCGCTGGTATGGCTCAGTGGATTGAGCACTGGTCTGTGAACCAAAAGTTTGCCATTTCCATTCCGAGTCGGGACACATGCCTAGGTTGCGGGCCATATCCCGGGTTGAGAGTGTGCAAGAGGCAACTGATTGATGTTTCTCTCCCTTCCAGTATCCCTCCCTTCCCCTCTCTCTAAAAATGAATAGATAAAAATCTTTTTAAATATCCTTTGTAAAGTTGATTCCTTAGAACTGTGACTCCAGAATGTTACTGTGCCTTGTGAGTTCATAAATTTTATAAGAACTTACAAGTCATAGATAGTAGTGAGATTAGGTACTTAGCCCTAGAGTCAAAATTGTTGGCTTCAGATTTTGTATCTTAACTTATTGTCTCACCTTGGCCTTAACTTCATGTCTCAGTTTCTTCATCTGAAAATTGAAGATGATTGAGCTCAGTTCATGGAGTTGTTGTTAGCTTAAATTATTTATATCCATAAGTTTCTGTGAAATAAAGGGGTCCAGCAGAAGTAATACCTGTTTGAGTGTAGTTGGTAGTAGTATGGGTGTAATAATTTATAGTTTTAATATTAACATTTCACCTGAAATGTCATATGGCGTGCTTGAGTGTGATATTGTTATGTTACAGAATTACATGCTTATGATTTTGTAATAAAATATTTTGTAATTAAAAAGGGGTGTTATTTGTGCCAGACCTTGTATATATCTTACTCTTGGCCTCCAGCTTCCTGGCACAGAGCTCTTAAAACTCTTGTAATTTCTCTAGTGGTAAGAGTACTAGGAGCATCTTTTGTTCTCATATTTGGCCTTTGACCCTGGTTCCTGACACAGAGCTCCTAAATCCCTTGGAATTTCCTGGGTGATAGGAAAGTCTTTTGTTCTAATGAGAAGACTCTTGATGAGCTCTTGGATAGCTTCAGGATGGGACTGGTGACCAGAAAGATTAATCCATGACTAAATGCTTGGAATTTTCAGCTCCACCTGCTCCATCCTCTAGGAAGGGGAGATAGGCTGGAGGTTGAGTTAATGACCAATCATACCTACACGTGAAGCCTCCATAAAAATCCCAAAAGTATGGGGTATGCAGAGCTTCTGGGTTAGGAACACATTTACATGCCTGGAGGGTGGCAGACCCCAACTCCATGGACCTTACACTATGTATCTCTTCATCTGGCTGTGCTTTCATATTCTTTACTACAACCTTTATAAAAACAAACAAACAAACAAACAAACATAAACCTAAGTGTTAAAGTTCCGTGAGCCAGTCCAGCAAATTAGTGAACCCAAGGAGTGGGTCATGGTAACCCAGATTTATAGCTGGTTGGTCAGAAGTACAGGTGACAACCTAGGACTTGTGACTGGCATGGGCAGAGGGCAGGCAGTCTTGTGGGGCTGAACTCGCAACTTGTGGGATCTGACACTATAATGTCAGAAATGAGTTAAATTGTAGGATATCCAACTGGTGTGTGAAAATTGCTTGATGTGTGGAAAGCTCTCCAATCTGGTATCAAAAGTAAAGTGAAATGGGGCAGTAGTGCGAGAGTAAAGGAGAAAGACATGTGAAAAGTATAGATTTTCCTTTATAAGCACTAAAGTTTATGGCTCACAGTAAGTGCTTAATAAATGTTAGTGATGATTATTAGTCTTTGTTTTCTCCCAGGGCCTCCAGGGAGGCCAATAACCACCAAGTACACAGCCTTTGGGTGATTTTGATCTGACCTATAGTTGGTATTAAGAGTACTAACATGAGGGACAGCTTCTATACTTACTACTTTCAATTTTTTTTTTTTTTTGGCCTAAAATGCTTCCCTGTTCTCCAACTCCAGTTTTTCAAAGTAAACATATCTTTCAGATCATAGCTCAAGTGTGACTTCCTTAAGAAAACTTTCACTAACCTCCCAGTCTTGATCCCCTTTTTGCACCTTTTCTGAATAGACGTGATCATAAATGTAATTGCATAATTTTTTTACATAGTTATTCCACTTTTATCTGCCTCTTCGCTAAACTGCAGGTCCCATGAAAGCAAAGCCTACTCCTTTTTGCTCTCCTCTGTATCCTCAGGACCCAGCATAGTGCTTAGTGTATAAGAGGCATTCACAAATATGTTTTAAAGAATGAGTGTCCCAAGCATTTCATCAAGGTAGAGACTCAGAAGCAGTGTTTCCAGCAGCTAATGAGAAGTGCACGGACAAACATGGGCCAGAGCTGCACAGTCGGACCAGGCCTGTTTTGTGAACTGCATTGAATGCTTCATTGACCCAAGCCAATTCATCTTGAATTGACTGGAAGAGACAGAAATCCAAGCCAGTCTTCTCAGAAAGCCTTTCTGACTAATTTCAGCATTACCTTTCTGGAAAAGAAAGGTAGTTAAAGAATGGTTGAAGAATGGTTGAAGAAAAGGCCATGGGGGAGCTTTGGCCAGGTAGCTTAGCTGGTTAGGGCATCATCCTAATACACCAAGGTTGTGGGTTCGATCCTTGGTCAGGGCACATACAAGATTCAACAAATGAATGCATAAATAAGTGGAACAACAAATCAATGTCTCTATAAATTAAATAAATAAATAAACAACAGCAGTTTTAGGTACAGGTACATGCCTAATGTTAATCAATCAGTATAGATTCCATTTCCTGCATTCTTTTAATCACTGAAATAAAAGCGTCTACAAGATTAAAAAAAAAACAGAATAAATGTTCCCTCATGTAATCACCCATAAATATAAAATATATTTGAGGCAAGCTACATTTCCCGAAAGCTTTCTACTGTGGTGTTTTTGCATAACCTGATTAAAAACATAATGTACTTATCCAATTCCTTCTTACCTGTAGATATGTTTTCCATGACTATAATCATATTATTCTGTGAAGGGCCACTGTTCACTGTAATTCAGTTTATCTATTTATTATATATTGCCATTCAACTATTGCTAATAGTTGAGTTATCAAATTCTGGTAGCTTGCATCAAAATAACTCCAAGGGCAACCAGCAAGCAATCAGAGATTGCTGATCT